TTTACATCTATGTGAAGGGGAGATGAAAGCATGTAGAGAGCCGTGGAGCCAGGTGAAAATATTGGCAGAGAACGAAACGTAAGAGAGACGTGCGGCTGAAGCCTTATGTTCCTCTAGGAACTAAAGGAAACAATAATAATAATACATCTATCTCAAATGAATTACTGAAGTATTTAAACAACTACTAATTACAGCTAATAATGACCACTGTGCCACAAACATAAACGAAAACAATAAATTCCTTTATTTATCCATATTTTAAAGTTGTTTTAGTTATTCTACACAATAATCGATCGTTTTTTCAAATGAATTGTCAGACAATATCAGATACACCTAGACTAAGCTACATGTATATTTTCCGCACTCACGTGCTCCCTTTTCAAAATAGTATTCGCCACCAAATTTATTCACTGTTTGTCTAGTTGGCCACTTAAATTCCTATTTCAGGTCGATAAGTTGAAATTCGCACATACCATTTATTTTTGCTCCTATTACATACTCGCACTAGTAGCATGACATCTTTAACCATTGATTTCTGTGTAAGTCTTAAATCATTAGAATATTAGGCGTGTAACAATTCGTTACATAATCGCACTGGGATGTTTTTATATCATACATCATTATTTCAAAAACTGTTTGACAAGACTTACAACAATAAAATTCTTTTACGTTAGGCCCTAGCGAAGACTACAGTGAAGTGTTTATGATCACAGTGTTTGTTAATTACATAATCTACGAAGTAATATATAACGCAAAACTGCATTTGATGATAATGATAAAGACAGAAATCCCTGATAAATATAAATAAAAAATAGTACTCAGTGCAGTCCTTTGTTGTAGTGATAAATAACCGTCACCAAAAAATGAATAAACTACATATTGCAGTAATCGATACAAAAGTTATTTATGTATAGCTACAACTACTAGGAATGTAACAAATGTTGGAGAAAAATATGTTGTTGGATGGTTGAAGGCAGTCAGTAGAGAGGCTTGGACCCAGGCTTTATATCTGTTGGCACTTTTCAGGAAGACGTGTCTGTTAATAACCTAAAACCAAAAGTTAGTAAGAACCAGGAGATTTCCACCACTTCATCCGAACTGGTTAAAGCAAGAAGACTGATTCCGGAGAGCCCCGAATGTGATGAGGAGCGAAAGCTGCCCAAACGCAAACTAACAAGAAGTCTTTGCAACGACCTTGAACAGTGGTGGGCGACAAAAGCAAAGGAGATAGAAAAGGCATTGGTGATAGGTAACACCAGACAACTACTTAGACTTATCAGGGAAACAGGTGGCAAAAAGAAAATGATAAGTGAAATAATCTCTGAGAAAAATGGTACCATAATTAGCTCTGGGGATAGACAATTGGAACATTGGAAAGAACACTTTGGAAAGTAATTTGATTGGACCACTGAGCATCCAGCACCTCTCTTGATGGAATACAAACAAAGGTCCTCCGATCCCAACTGAGGTTACAAAAGCTGTCACTAGTCTGAAACGAGGTAAAGTAGCGGAACTTGATGGAGTGACTCCAGAGGTATTCAAGGACGGTGGAGACAGTTTACGGTATGCGTCAACTAAGGTACTAGGCAGCGTCTGAGAATCAGAGGAAGCCCCGTCGGTCTGATGTAAGTCATTGATTATCCCGATTTACAAGAAGGGAGACAAGTCTTCCCGTGATAATCACAGGGGGATTAGCTTGACCAGTATGCTATCTAAAGCTACAGGCTCAATAATAATGCGTAGACTAAGCGGTTCTTGGGAGGAACAAACAAGTGAGAACCAGGCAGGCTTTAAACCAGGAAGAGGGTGTATTGGTCATATCTTCACTCTTTGTCAGATCCTGGAACATAGGCATATTAACTGGAGTCCAACAGTGGTGATATTTCTTGGCCTGGAAGCTGCATTCACTTCCGTCGACCGAGAGTACTTTGGTGATGTTTGGCTGTAAAGGGAATGCCAAGGAAATTCACTGCACCGATCAAGGCACTCTACTTGAACTCATGCAGCCAGGTGAGAGACTACGGAAAGTTTTCATCTGAAATGGTGACAACCAGTAGTGTCCGTCAGAGATGCCCATTGTCTCCATTTCTGTTTAATTTCATCTTCGATGTACCAATGGACTCAACCCTAACTGACTTCAGCGACTCAGGAATTGACTTGTTACCAGTGAGTAATCTCGTTGGCTTAGAATATGCAAATGATATCGTCTTTCTAGGTGAAGAGGCTGACAAGATTCAGAGTCTTCTGAACACCTTGAGTAGCAATTTCCGAATGTTCAGTGTGTGATTCGCTGAATTTGTCAAATGTAATATGATGCTATAGGACTGGACTACATCAACTCACTCCTAGCTTAAAGGTAGAGAGTAATGAATTGTTACAGATTGTTGACCACTTCACTGACGAAATTTCAGCACGGATACAGAAGTCTCGTTTGACATACGCAAACTTACGCCATCTCTGGCTTAGTAGACGTGATTTTCGGCTGTCGATCAAAGGACATGTGTACTGCTCAGTGGCAGTTCGCTCCATCTTCCTTTATGGCTGTGAATGAGAGCTGGTAGAAGACATGAAAAGGTTAGCTGTCTTTGACCATAGGTGTCTGCGTTCTGTGCCCCATGTTAGGTGGTAGTATAATAAGGTGAGCAATATTGAGGTTAGACGTCGAGTATTAGGCAAGGAGGGCAAATCAATCAACGAGGTTGTGAAGTTACACCAACTGAGATAGTCAGGACATATGTTGCTCATACCTAGCCATCGATCGCCTTCCTCAATAGGCAGTGTTAGCTGACATAAGCTCATGTTCGAAAAGAGCCAGTAATGGTCAAATGAAAACATGGCTTCATCAGTCAACGAAATCCATAACACTGAAAATACCCATTGAGTCATGAAGTAAATAAAAGATATTTTCTTCGCTGAATTTATCTTTTATTTTCTTCAAATCCATAATAGTTAGTTTGAACCAGCCACGTCGTAAGATGTAGACTTCCTGGTTGGAGTCTTCAGAATTCTAAGAACTAGCGACTGGAGACAATCGGTGATGTGGCTCAAAATTGTTCTCAATGGCTGGCTCAGATGCATTCACTCTTTGTGATTTATCTTATCAAATAAAACTTTACAGTTCTTCCATATTACTATTCTTTTTGTTTCATACTTCTGTTTATTATCTCTCTTTTGAATCTCTCTTTACTCTCTTCTCGTGCTTTGTGTGCTGTATGGATGGAGTTTGACAACTCGAAATGCTGCACACCTGTGCACCTGTGCAAAGCTCAGCGCTGAAACTAATCAATCAGTCAATCCTATCTGAAATCTTCAAGGAACTCAAGTCTTTTCTGACATTCAAACCGGTGTCACCTAGTACTGCAATCAGAGACGTTACCATTGATCTATTCGGATTCTCAACTGACATCCCATAGAAATGTAATATACACTTTGATTGGACACTGATGGAATTCAGATTGCAGATTCTCCTTGTTGATGGCTGCCAGCGAGCACAAAACCTAAGTGAAGGGCTTCCTGCGGATTGCCTTCAACTTTGTAACAATAAGTCACAGTACACCATGATGGCGGGCCATCCGGAATGGTGTCGACATTGTAAACCTTAATTTTAGAATTCAGTCTGCATCAAACAAAGTACTAGAGGCATGACAGTAGTTACCACCTAGTGTCCAATCACAGAACAAAATGTACTTATTTTATACAACTTGTACTACACACATCTTGCATATCTACGATCTGATTAAAGTGTATACTTTGATCACTGGTAGAAGAAGAAGAATTTAATTTTTTTAATTAATTTTGATTACATCTTGATGCCACACCGTATTTTCAGTACAAGTATGGAATTTTCAGCATGAATATCGGTAGCCTAAATTTCGCAGGCTGACCATAGATATCGAGTGTGCGTCGGCAGGTGATCGAACCCCGGACCATGTGCATGGTCGGCGAGAGTCCTAACCACTGCGCCACCGACGCACATAGACATTGCTACATAGACATTAGCACTGAACCAGGGTAAAGCTGATATGTAACAGAGGGTTTTCTGAAGTATTATCAATACTCTGAATATTGCTAAAACTAAATGGACTGTTTCAGTAGTCATCACGACAACTATCTCTTATTCTTTTTTAGTTTCATTGCAATCAAAGCCAACAAAACTGTAAACAAACCAGCTCAAATACTGCTATACAAAATCATTGTTTTCTCATATTATTACTTCTTTCTCTTGTCTTCACAACGCATCCTTGAAACAATTTGTACCATCTGACTAATTTTATCTTATTTAATGTCTTAAATTCTAAGAAAAGATACTAAAATCTGAAAAATGTCAGATGAATATCATTTTTAAGAAAAATATTTATTGGTTTGAAGTAGGTCTGACTGTTAATTTTGGACATCTCACTTCTTAACTGTAGCTGACTGTGACTTTACTCAAAGGTGTTTAACTTTCTAGAATGTAAGTAGGTTATACTTTATATTGGTAACAAAACTCATAGCTTAGAATTGCACAACCAGAAAAAGCTACATTTGTTACTTGCCCTAAAAGGAAATTTACAGCAGGAATGGATTATTTTGAAGTGCTGCTTATATCGAAAACCGTCAGCAGTCCAATGACAGAGTACTAGCCAACCAGGTACGTCATCCGTGGTTTGACTCCTTCCCGAAATCCTCCTAAACCTCATCTTATTTACTAGCCGACAATAGGTCAAGAAAAGAGGGGAGGCCGGGAGTAAAGCTGGCAACCCCACCCTGTGAAAACAACATCACCACTGAAACTTCAAGGCTACAAGCCTAAAGCCGTATGTTCCACTTGGAATGCATGGGATAACAAAACGAAATAGCAGATAAACACTTGAAAAGCTTTTAAACCTGATTGTCAGTTGTGACAGCAGTAAATTAGGTCTGTTCAACAGCTAAAAATAGTTGTATGCACAAAAAATCAAAATCTTGTTTAAAAATAACTTTCTATACTAATTTCAACTGAAATTTTAAAAAATACTCACTTTCATGATAGATTTGTTACCATTAAGACTAGGTTTGAAAACTTCCTCTCTTAATGTTTGTTTTGAATCAGTCACTAAGTGATCACTAGGTCTGCAATGATAGACGACTTGTGAAGGCGGTGAAAGGACATTAGATGAAATAGAATCCAGATAACTTGGATTTCCACTCAAAGGTATGCTTGATGAACTTTTAACCAAACTTCTGTTAGAGTTTTGTGGTTGTACATCACTTGAATGACTATACCATGGAGTTTCTTTTGGTGGATTTGATGGCATTCTTTGTACAGAACTTGACCTTAATGTAGCAGAATGATACATTTTTGGTTGAGATGTAGGACTAGAATGGAATCCTGGTTTTACGGGATTGGATTGTACAGAATTTTCAAAAATGTTTGAACTTGTATAAGATGGACTGGGTGATTTTCTTCTTAATCTCTCCATTTTTGAGATATCAGAAGATGTGCGCATATGAAATGGATGTGGTGGTGACCTAAGAGTGCCCTGTAAAAACAAAGATTCGTTGAATAAATAAATATAATGATGAAACCCTCATAAATTACATCTATCTGAAGGGTAAAAATAATGAATGTAATGTTAGTGGTGAAAGAGATCACATCATGTTACTGACTTAAAACCAATAGAAAAGTTGTTTTAAAGTAATAAATGATCAGTAATCCGTTATTTAAGTATCTATTTCCGGATTCGAATCCACAATATAACCTTAGTAAAGTGTGAACTGCACCACTGTCACTATATTTACATATTCACGATGTAATATTTAATTAAATAAAACCCTGTCTATTAGTCTAGAAGAAGTGTTACTTATACCACAACTATATTTGACTTTTTCATTTAGTCACTGAGGTGTGTACCATCAGCCATGTGTCTCACACAATTCAAAACATAATCAGCCACATATATCTCTATGTTTCAATATCTGTTGAACTTAAGAGTTTCAATGTTATTTCCCTATCACATGTACATTAATTTCGATCTACTTTTTCTAGTTACATCGCCTCGTAACTTCAAGGTCTTAGGTTCGACCTTCGGTGAGTTGTGGGTGTATACCGATGAATAGCCCAAAACTAGGAAGAAACAGCTGTTTAATACTCTCTGGTTTTTATTGACCCTCTAACTGAAGTCGGTTTGTGATATAACTTAAAACATGTAAGAATAACCTAATTGTGACTACTAAGTATCCTTTGCTGTTAGTATATGGAATGAAAACTTGCCTCGTTTATTTAATTGTACATTTTTTCTTTTATTGTTGTTTATTATCCTAACTAAACAATATATTGGGGTTATATTCATAGACCGATTCAAAGCTTCTTCATTAAAATGTTATATTTTCAAGAATTTTTCACAAGCTTTGACTGAGTACAATTTTTTTCAAGAAAAAGTTGTATTTGTGTTTATTCATACTTCTTGATATGAATACTAACATAGTATGCTGTTTCTTGGTTAACTTATCTAGCTTTAAGATATATAATAATACAAAGGTAACTAGCTTAATAATCTGTCAATGTCTCCACTCGACTGTTAAATTTCCACTATTATAATTCTCATTATACTCCTATGTCCTTTATATACTTACTTCGTTTTCGATTTCCAAAGCACTCTTGACATTAATTGCCTCAAAAGTGAGCATGAGGAGCAGTTTGGTGACAGTTTCTGAAGCATAATCGATATTTGATGAAGTGGTACGCTTACACAACTAGTATAAGCGACTTATAGTTAAAAAGGAGTAAATATTAATGGTCTACCAAAAGGATATGCATGAACTGACAACATGCTAAAAATTTGATAAGGCTTAGTTAGTATTTTGCTTGATTATCTATTAACTAAGCACTTTTAGAGTATTATCACAGAAATAACCACTCACCATAGATTGCCTTTCACTAATAATGCTCTCTTGGTCTGATTTTTCATCCAAAATTAAGATATTTGGTTTTTGTGATCCTGAGTTGTGAAAAAAGAAATTGGAAAAGGGTTTAAGATTATTCCGTGAACATTACAGGAACATTCAATTCCAATCTATTATAATAAGTTTTAGTAAGATATGAGAGGGAATTCGCTATTTTTATCTATGGCTAATCTTAGTAATACAATAATATTAATGTGAATGGAAAATAAATACTTATCTCCTATTCTAAAAATTGTGATCTAGTAGTGAGCTGTTCACCATATTGGTTATCTGGCAATTGAATATACCACAAAACTTTCATTTACACATCTCAGTATTTCATCAAAAGCTTTTTCGGCATTTCCATGGTAAACATTTAAATTTATCCTAATTCTTCAAGTCAACAATAAAGAAAAAGAACTAGAGTGTGTATCAAATACATGGATTGTTGTTGAAGGAAAAAGTGATCTCACAAATCAAATTCACAGTTTGAAAGTTGGTTAGCCATTTGAAGTTTACACAGTTCGAGTGGTGAAATTTCACCGTAGTTTCCTTTCGAAATCAAATTGGGTGGTTTGAACTGATTCAGCTGTTCTAGCTGAGTCAGATGGGGCAAACTGTTGATGAGGTCAGCCCCAAAACGAGCGAAACTGACGTTCAGTATTTAGACCACCTCGATCTGGCTAGCAAGCACTGCTGGTTGATATGACTGGTTTGAAGCTACTCGTCTCAACCAATCTGTAGTATTTAGTTTTATGACCTGATATAGTTTAAAATTGGCTAATTTTTGTCAAAAGATATGAAAAGACAACGATAATGAAAGCAGCAATAATAATGATGATAAAAGTGACAAACGATGTGGAATAAAACTGAAATAAAATGACATTGTTTGGACTAATGCTGAAAGAAACAGTTACGCAAAAATTTTGAATACAGAAGTTGGAATTTGGCTACATATAATTAAAGTCTTAAGCTTTTGAGCTATTTAATTTGGACTCTGGTAATTTATTTAAGAGATGATTCACAAGGAGATGAATGATTTCAGTTCACAAATTATGCTATGTTACTTTCAATTCTTGTCTATACCGATTTAGAATTAGTTTGGTTACGTAAGTAAATGAATTAACTTGCTACTGAACAAGAAAGATACTATGAACAGTAAGTGAGTCATCGTAAATCTAAGATACCTGCCTTACAGAAGATTCTCTAGCTAGTTTGTACGAAGTTGCTGGTGTAAGAATGGAGTTGAATGCTAGGGTAAAAAAATCACTGCTTGACTGAATTCAAGCGGTGATATGGTTCAAAATCGTTCTCACTGGATCATAGGACATGCACTCCTAATGAACTCCCAGATCTGTTAGATTCTCTTTATTCTCTTTGTAATAATTATTTCTCCCGTACATTTCCTTTCATTACAGTTTCTTCGCAGTTCTTTTTCTATCTGCATTTATGTATATGTGTCGACTTCAACTGTTACACTTTTATGCAAAGCGTTTCGTTAGTCAGTGAGTCGCTCGTGTTTCCAAGAGTTTTTAAAAGTGTGAAATCTAAACCAAGCACTTTCCACCAACTGCATCTGCAGTTTAATTGTAACTCCTATCACATCAGTCACGTCCCTTTTTGATTCTCGAAATGAATCCTCTAATTCTGGTTTATTTTGATGGCTGTAAACTTATACATGTGAATATAAAACTGGATTATAAATGATGAGAAAAAAATGCTTCTCCGTTGAGTACTATCAACTTGAGTGATATTTAAGTTCAAAAGTTATTAAAAGAGGAATATTCATAGTTCCTTATCAAGTACCACTAGAAACGCGAATAAATTAACTTTCATTGCACCTTCAGTTACACTAATATCAAGTCACTGAGATAAAAAACGTCGTCCACGTAACAGAAGTATTCAGTTAAAGTTCTTAATTCTGCTTAAATGTTTTAACTTCATAATTTCTGATGGAGGACATAAAAGCAATGAAAACAGATGACTCAGTGAATCAGATGCCGTCACAACTGAAATATGTTTCATAATGTTACTTAAAAAGTGGTAGTATTATTAACATTCCATTGGGTCCCAAGTGGAAAATAGGGCTTCAACAACATATCTCGTTTTCACCCTATTCTCTGCGGCCCTCTTTATCTGGCCCCACGATTGCCCATAGTCTGTCTCCTCTTCGCACGGTCTCCTCCATGTTAACCTCAGACCAACACCTATCTCTTCATTTCTCATTCGGGTCCTACTTGGGGACCTGCAGCACGATGTCATTCGTCAGTCTCCTCAGTGTGTGTCCTATCCATCTCCATTTTCTTCTCCAGATTTGTTGAACAATAGATTCTTGGTTGGTTAGTCCCCAGAATTTCTTGTTGCTACTTATTTTTGGCCATTTGATATTCAGTATAGAGCCAGAGAAGGCAAGTGTTGGTAAAAGCCTGCAGTTGCCTGTTGGAAATGCTTTTCGTGATGTGTGAATTTTTTGACCCATATGAAAGAACTGACGTACTATTGGTATTAAAAATCCGAATTTCTTTCTTTATGCTAGGTGAAGCAGACTTCCAAAGTGATCTCAGCGTGATGAAGGTCTTTCTTGCCATTCCCATTCTGGTCTTGACATCTCATGTGTGATGCTTGTAACTGAGACTATGCTCTCTAGATAACTGAAGGAAGTGACCTCTCTCAACCTAAAACGTGGTAATGCTACACAACAAGCCTTGCTATTATGATTGATTGAATGCTATAGTTTGCTTCAGTGATTGTGATGATACCATTTGTTCACTGATTGTGTTACCTGAGCCCATGGATACGTGATATTTTTCAATGCACTTAAGTCCTTATATGGATTCTCTAAATCCTGAAAAACGACATTTTTCAAGAGGTTCTAAGTAAGGATAGTTGAACTGTCTAAATATCTTTTACATCACTGAAATTTGTGATGCTATTGCAGAACTTATCGTTACCTATAAATATACTGGAATTTTAATGTCAGCTTACTGAAGCTCAAGTAAAACAGTCAAAATCATATTAAAATACACACTGCTGAAAAACTTTTTATGTCGTTTCCTTTTGAAACGGCTGAAATTTCCTTTACATAAATGCTTCATGGCTTAGTGAAGTAATAGGTATGCCATTCAACTATAATATTACATACATATATTAATAACCTTAGTGACTTCCTGCTTATAATATTAGAGGGAGCTATTTGTTACACTCTCTCGATTGAAATTAATAATTTCACCACTATATACATGGACTGTGAAGACTTCAACTACTGCCGTACACAAACTCAGTACATTTAAACAGAGATGTATGCATAAAATGTTAATAGTGAAGTCACCAAGAAAAGTATACGCTTGACTTTCTTCTGTATAACCAACAAATAAATCTGTAAACATCATGATATGAATTAGACACATTACCACAGTGAACAGAATGCACATTAATTTTACTGTGCCATCCTGCGTCATGCTTATACAACATGTTATGTAAGAAATTTTCCAAATTCAAACAATTTCACTGTAGGCAACTTATTTCAGTTTGTTTTATCAAGATACTCAAAGTAATAAACAGCTTATCTTACTTTCTGATCTCATTATTTCAGGCTGTGGTGGAAGTGAAGTTATTCTTTCCGGTTGTTTTCTGATTTCCTGTCCACAATTTTCCAGAAATTCGTTGTTGACTGTTGTATGAAGAAAAGGCTGAGTAGCCGAAAGTATAGGCATTGAGTTTCCAGGATCCTTTTCGAGTTGATAGCTACAAAAAAATTTAACAAATATTTATTAACTCTCACCACAATATGTCACAACACAAATAAATGAAAAGATGAGATAATGCCTATTCAGGTATTTACATTTCAACTAAAATTCAGTCATTATGTTAATAGCTTTAGAAATATAGAGAAGCAGCCAACGTGGTAAAATAACAATATAAATGATAGGCGTATGCAGATCGGTAGCCTAATATGAACTAATATAGCTCTCTGATTTATGGTGCTTATCGAAATTCCTCGATTACATGTATAACTTAGTCACTAAGTTAAGTAATACAACTCTGTTGTTAATTGTAGTTAAACATTAAGCATTGAGAGGCTTCAATAATAAAAAGCGCATGGCCTATGCTCTTTCACGCTGCACTTCTGAACAATATATTTAGGTAGTTTTCAACAGGTAAGGCTAGATAATTATATTGGTCGCCAACCAACGACTAATATGCATAATGCCTGACTATCATTATTTGATAAATATCATAAGAGACAGATTTTAGGATCAAAAATGCTTAGAAAAGTGATTTAGAAATCAGCTGTGAATATCAAAAAGACATAACTAAGCCACTGACCGTTTAAACTTTACAGAACAAAAAGCTTCCAGGTTTGATTTGTAGTTATTATGTAAAGCAACTACTAGTTTAGGATTTTCAGTCTACTTATGTCTGCTTTAAAATAGTTTAATTAGAAACGGAAGCAAGGCGTTTCTTTCAGAAACTAAACTTAAATTTTGATGACCTCTAGTCTGTTTCGCAAATTCGAAGTACCTACTTTTAAGCCCTTTTGTACATGTCAGGCACTCAAGCATAATTTCAAGCTGATAGATATTTCGTCATGATGTATGTTAGAAGTAAGGAAAAGGGGTAGACTGTTTCATTAACGGATCAGAGTAGAACTTTTCACAAAAGACCACTAATTCAATATGTCAGAAGGTGAATAAAATATACGAACTGGTTTATTGATACTCCAATGAGTAAATGTGTATGTGACAAAGAGGATAATCTAAACAAGGTTGTTGGACTGTTGATATAAGGATAAAACTTGAGCACTGTGGTACAGTATAATTATGGATAAAATTTTATTCTGATAAAATCATACAATGTTATACAGTAATATTTACTAACGATGTTTCGACCTCAATTTATTGCTAATAATCATATCAAGGTACTCACATAACTATCTTGCTTCGTTTATATACATGAGAAAAATTGATGAGATATTTGGATCAAATTAATATAAGACTTTTGTGAAACAGAATGGAAGATAAAGTACATTACGAAATAATGTTAGTGTTATCAATAAAATACAATAGGATGGGAAATATTACTGCTGTTAGTCAATAAGATGGGAAATAAGATGTTTTTACAGTAAAATAAATAAATGACTTGTTAGAATATTATAATGTGAATTGAATACATTTTAACATTATTTATTATCCTCTGATTTGACCGGTAATAATATCTTCCATATCTTTGGTATTTGCGTTGAGTCAATTCTATTGCACGTGTTGGATGCAGACTCGATGAACCAGACAGGATTCAGTAATTAATCTCTCTCTCTCTCTCCACCTACCTATATTACTTTTTAGAATTTTGACTCTGTCCTACCCTATTGTGTGGTTGTGTGGTAATGCATGCAGTGGGATTGCTGAGCTTTTTTCTGAATTGCTTATCTTCGTTAAATGCCACCTCAATTCAAACCTACAAACTCACTCAGAGACAAGCCCTGTAGGCTAAAGGACCCAGTGGACCCAATTAAACAAAATAACATAATTTACAAAATACTTTGCAATGACTGTGAGTTAGGTCAACTACGTAGGTCAAAATAGTAGATCAGGAGTAGTGAGATTATCAGAACATAAGAATTTAGCTAAAGTTAGAATGATTCATCCCACGAAGATGAGTAATTTAGAAAAAAGCTCAGCAATCCCACTGCATGCATTACCACACAACCACACAATAGGGTAGGACAGAGTCAAAATTCTAAAAAGTAATATAGGTAGGTGGAGAGAGAGAGAGATTAATTACTGAATCCTGTCTGGTTCATCGAGTCTGCATCCAACACGTGCAATAGAATTGACTCAACGCAAATACCAAAGATATGGAAGATATTATTACCGGTCAAATCAGAGGATAATAAATAATGTTAAAATGTATTCAATTCACATTATAATATTCTAACAAGTCATTTATTTATTTTACTGTAAAAACATCTTATTTCCCATCTTATTGACTAACAGCAGTAATATTTCCCATCCTATTGTATTTTATTGATAACACTAACATTATTTCGTAATGTACTTTATCTTCCATTCTGTTTCACAAAAGTCTTATATTAATTTGATCCAAATATCTCATCAATTTTTCTCATGTATATAAACGAAGCAAGATAGTTATGTGAGTACCTTGATATGATTATTAGCAATAAATTGAGGTCGAAACATCGTTAGTAAATATTACTGTATAACATTGTATGGTTTTATCAGAATAAAATTTTACCCATAATGGAAGGTTGTTGGACATTTTCAGAATCCGGAAGATGACAAGCATTACTTATATCTGTCCCCCTTCAAACGATTTTTAGCCTTATCTTGAAGCGTTTACAATCATAAATCTTCAGTATGATGATGACTTCTGTGGCTACTTCCATGGATCAGCCCGATGTATTCTTTTGACTTGATAACTCTTAACTATTTTCCAACCTAATCACACTTTGGCTGACATTGGTGCTCGTCCTAAGTGGCGACTTATAATGCGGAATGCGTTTCACAGACAACTTAGCTGATTGAATTTCCCTCTGCCTGATGCTCTATACACAACCTCATTACTACTGCCACATTGCTTTGCCTAACATGGGCAGATAAATGAATGCAAGTATGATCAAAAACCTTCTATCTTTTCACAGTTTCCACCTCTAGCCATCAAATCTGATGGCTAAAGTATTCCCGTGCACTACACACATTCTCTGATGAACAGCTTGACATCGCAGCTTCAGAAAAGATGACAAAAGCTAGGAAATATCACCCAGAAATTCGTCTTCTCTGTTAAGATTCCCTCAAATGACCAATTCATTATGACTCTTACAACTTTCCAAGTAAGTGAAATGTTCAACTTATTCAGCCATTTTAGCCCCTATCCATAAATTACCAGTTGGATCAGATAAATCTCGTAGGGCCATCTTAAATCTGACAAGTTCCAACTTCATGCCATGCATTCCTAGAATCCAACTCACAGGAATGTATTTCTTCAATATCTCCACCTTGGAAGAAGAAATATAAATCAACTAGATCTGACCCTGATAGCATACCAGTTCTTGAGGTGAAGTAACCATCTGACGTCACAACTACAGTACATCTACCACAAAATTAAATAAGTTTAGTGTTTGATATCCCAGACGGCTGCAGCTGTTTGTCATTACTTCAAACGACATATATATATCTGTAAGAGTTTGATTAGTGTGTTGACTGAGAAACATACTATCTTAAGAACCTCTTACGGTTAAACAAGATCGATGGGATCATGTACATCCTTGAAATTGTAAAAAATCGTAAGCGTCGGACACCAATAAGCACTTTTATGTTTTTGAGCCTACTGTAAGGTGAATACTTAATTGAAGTATCCTGATCTGGACTTCATTTTTCTTAAGCGTTAACAGAAACTTTTTCGCCATACACCAATAAATTAATCGAGCTACTCCAGTGTCTTTGAAGGGTTTCACTTTTAAGTGTCTTAACATCAAGATATCGCAAATAATATTTCCTCAAGCATTTCTGGATTTTAATATGACTTCTATGTTGCATTGATGTCCGGTAGGTGTACAAATACACAACAAACATAAAAGTATTAAAAGGATGAATCTACTTGTTTTTTCGGGGAGTAAGGATAATATAGATACATAAAGCTGATGATTTTACTGAAATCTCATCTGAAAGCTACTACTACCCATTCAAACTATCTCAAACTACCCATTTTATATCAAATTTTCATTTAAATCGCTCTATAAATCGAAATTCGCTTAAATATTTTATCGGGTTTATGAAACAGTCAGTCGATTCCGCATTGTTGCAAATCAGTAACCTACTACAGTCCTCCCTGATAAATATTCCTGGAAATTCCCATAGGTAGAATCCAAGTTTTGTATGGAACATAATGACTAAACCCAAATTAATGTAAAGATAATCCCATTCTGTGGAACACTTTTTATCGATATAACAATGAGTAAGTATCCTTAATATGGTTTGAAAATCTGTACATATTTAAGAGTCTTTTCTCTAAATGAATCACAGTGGAGGTTTGTGAAATATTGGTTTTCCAGTATTGTCGTGATTTTCACACTCCTGATAAAATGTCACAGATTTTATAACCATGCTAAGCTTGTTGAACTCGAACTCTCACAATGTTCTGTTATAATAAGCCTCTCAATCCTTCTTTAGCTTTTTAGTATACTTCATGTTAAAATCGACCGACTGGAACAAACAACCGAGATTTATGCTGGAGAATTTAGAACCACATCCCTCACTATTAAAAAAGCCTGTTTTACATGACACTTTTTCAGTAAGAGCGAAAATTGTGATGACTTTAATGAGACAATCAAGCTCGTATTTTCAAAATGAGAGTGATATTTCAATGACGTCTTCATATACACGTGACAGAATAGGTTTGGGTTTTAAAACCGCTGAATCATTTTAATCGCGCCTTCACCTGATTTCTTCAAGTAAGAACTCTTTCTAAGTGGTTTCGCAGATTCAACAATGAGGGTTAAATTTAATTACTAGGTCCTGATTACGTGCGGAAATTGTAAAATGACTCCCCAAAAGCTGATTGCTTATCCCATGATATTAGTTTCGTGTAATTTTCGATAAAATACTGGTTTCATATGCACTACACGAATTTCAAACCTGGACTTTTATTGCAGCGGGAGTTTTTACGCGCTGATTATAGAACACGTAGCAGAACACGGAGTGATTTATCGAGTTTGTGAGCATTTTGTTTTTCATCAGTTTTCATATTTGTAAATACATTTTTGTCTCCAGCTATCTTCTGAATTAATTGATGTTTTAGAATCTTGGTAAGTGGTGAAACATAACTAAATAAACTATCACACCTAGTAGAGAGATTTAAAGAAGTTAAAATAAAACATATAAAAGTTTAAGGAAAAAACTTACTGTTTTTCTGACCGTAACACAGTATTAGGCATATTTGGTTCAGAATTAACCGGTGTTCTTTGACCAGAGTCATCTGAATCCACGCTGTTTTTCATAAAGCAAGGTTCTTTTGCAATAACAATGGGGTGAGCTTTGTCCGTTTTGATTAACGTAGATGTTATTGGTTTTTCTAAATGATTAACAACTTTGAATACTTGAGAGGTCGGAAAGAAGTGTTTCTTTGTAGAAGAGAGTGGTATATCTATAACGGTGTCTGAAGGACTAAGCACATTAGTCGGTGTTTCAGTTCGAAAGTTTTGATTCGTGATGAACGTATTGTGATTTAAGTCGCCAATTCCTAAAATAGATGAGGGCCTTTGTCTACCCACTGAGTTGTCAGAATTATGGTGGTCCCTTTTTCTTACACAGTTAAGTTTATCACTGTCATCTAATGAAGGTGAATGTATGGGAGATGTAGAAATATCCCTCACAGTTGTCGACTGTCTTTCTCTCATCATCGAAGAGAAATCCTTTAGGTTTTTAACGTACTCCTGTAGAAGTTTAATGGCCATTTCTCTTGTAAGTGATAAATGTTCTTCACAACATTTCCCTTCTATCACACTGGAGCTCATTAAGTCGGATGACGACGATGAAAAAGAATTACTTCCAGCATCATCCACCATATCAAGTGGGAAATCGTCCAAAGTCATTTTTCTCCTTGATGCTAAGTCACTATTGCCATCACATGATCTGTTGACGACCTCAAAGCCACTGAAGGAAGATAGAGAATTACTTTCCGAAACTTGTTCATTCTTCTTCGAAAATGATTCCCTCCAGTCATTTTCACTGCAATTATTATTCTTTTGATGACTTACGAACCTTAAAATCTTTGGGTTGCTTCTACTATGAGGCATCGGTTTTCAAAGACACAAAATTAAAGTTCTGATTAACGTTCAAAGACCACGATCGAAGAAATTTTGTGAGTTTACAGAAATAAATTAAAGTCGCACAAAAATTTTTAGTGATGATGAATTTATTTCGGCATGAACTTTATCGTCAAGTTATGCGGTTTCTAAAAAGTTATTTTGATTAATTGCAGAATATATGTTCTGAAATCTGTGGTTCCCATTTCAACAGAAAGCGAACTATGTGATGCCAAAGGAAACGTTTTCAAATTAGGGAACGGCTGAAGTGGCTAAACTTTCACTAGTACTAATAAAGTACTATGTTTAATGGCATAGCGTAAACATATGATACAATCCACAGACAAAAAAATGTTGCTGCAAATAAAATGATGCACTTTAATATGTTTAAACAAATAATTCGGTACGTTTGATTAAATGAGATATTTTAGTATTTGGCAAAGCGTTATTTCTTTTTGTGCATAATACGTATTATCAGACGAATTTAGAATGATTTGCATGAAAATTCCTGGGTACATTGGAGATTATGAGCTTCACGCCAAGTACTCTACGACTGTAATGTTCCTCAGAAGAATATATTACCACGTTAAATCCTTCGCTGGTTTCATGACGTGCAAGTTGACGAATGATCATAGGGTAATACTCTATTCTCATTAATTGCACATTCTAATATTTGTTCGTGTTACCCATCTTCACACACTATACAGGAAGAGCTGGATGAAGCAAGGAAACTCAGTTTATGCTACAGTTCATTGATGCAATCAAGACATATAAATGAAGTTTGGCGAGAATTCAAAGTTTAATCAAGTCGGAGATAATGAAATTTGTTAGATGGTCCAGTTGAAAATGCTTTGCTACGGTTTATTCCGCAAAGGACGGGTAGCCGAAATATTTGTCCAAGGCCATATACCTTAAAAGCTCTTTTCTAAGGGAGATTGTGCAAATGTCACTCATCATACTCTTTTCATGGACGGTAGGAAAAGATGATTCTCAGCGATTAAAGGAAACAACCCTGCTCTATACAACCTCCTGGGATCGTCAACATTGCCTTATATGAGGGTTTTAGTAGTTTTCAAACGTAAATTCTTAGCTTCGTCAAGTTCATACGAGTCGTATAGAACGTAGGTGAACATGAAGAAACGTTTAATTCAGAACATTTCCAGTTGGCCGTTTATTGTCTAATGGTCTGCATAGGTAACCTGCTGCAACTGAGTGGCAAGTAGGAAACAACTAAATGAGTACTAAATCATTGAAGGTGTATCAGATTAGTAAGAGGGCGATTTAGGACTGAAAATATAGGTAGTGAAAGATAACTGAACCTACACCTATTCAACTACTGCAGTCATTCCGCTAAACAGCGATGTGTTCTCTGATCTGGGTAGTTTAAGTTAAGAAGGCTTTCAGTGTCTTTCCAGAAGATGCATGTGGTACCAACTTTAAAATAACTGTTCGCTCTGGGCGTTTGACCCGAAATGTCTTAACTACGTTGTTTTTAGAAGATTACAAGTCGGCAGGGTTTGCCCCGGTTACCCTAGGAGTTCCTATTGTGTGACCTATTGCAAGCGTACATGGTGTTTAATGAAGAGGCTGAAGTGGGGTGTGTTTAAAGTAGGCTTACTAATTTGTAAGAGTTGAGTTAACTAAGACTAGACGGGCATCCCGTGGACCAGGGTGGCGACAAACTCAGTATAAATCTATCTCCACCGCCTTGTCATCAGCCAAAGATCATGCGAACGCAAGCAAACATAGCACATGGGGTTTATTTGCAAACAGTGACATTAGATGGCAGCACGTTAGATGCGAGAATTTCATGAATTCGTCCAGCTGGCCTTGTCTAGATTTTCAGGGGTTGATGACGAAACCCTGGACATTTAGGGTGCTAAAAACGACAGTTGTGGACACGCCGTAGTTTTTAATAATAGCTATCGATCTCTTGCTGATATGCAGGTACTTGCATGAATGATACGGCAGTTTAACAGTTACAGTTAAACTTTATATCATTTTGCACTGTACTCAGTCATCAGTCTGTAGCTGTAGTAACTTATAAAAAAGATTAATAACCAAAGATATCAATTATGATCAGCATACGCAAATGCTGTCGGTAAATGAGGAAATGTAAGCTTAAGGTTCAGTAGTCAGCACAAATTTGGTTTCTGTGTCATAAGGCAAATCCGTTTGGTGGATGAATCATTACACTTTAAACCTTCAAGCACTCCGCCATCATACAATGCAGTCACATATAAGGTAAGCTACTGACGGCAGTCATTCTGGCACACAAGTCTATCGGGTCACCAACGAACTCATTTAACAGTCAGAAAATATTATTTGATGCCAGTTTATGAATCCAGATGGCCTGTAATTCGATTGCAAGTACTGAGTTAATAAAACAAATTTACTACATTGCTTGGTGACAAATTGTCCGTATGACGTTTTATCATTGAATTCTCAATAATTATTCAGCACAACACGAGACGTATGTGACGTTTATTTAGCTTAAGGTAAGGACATGTTTAGAGAACGTTTATCTACGCCATTCCTATAAAACAGCAAGGCCTACTTACGGAATCCGACAGATGACCATAAATACTCGCTTACCGGTAGTCACAACAAAAATAGAGGAAATACGGTTAATGAACAGGCAATATGCCAATATAGTGGTTTCAGCAGCACCTCAAGCTGTTCTTAGGGATCCCACGCTAATGGTGTCTGAGGAAGTGATATGTTATTGCGTCCATCAAAATAAAAGATTTGTGTAGACAACAGTACTTGGACACGTTCTTTCTAATCCTCCTAGGTGTCCCAGCAACATCGCATACTCTCAGTCAAGCCAATTAATTTTAACACTGGAACTCAGCATCAAGAAGAAGCCAGGGTAAGATATTAAGCTAGTAATTTGAAATATTAGACCCATGGTATAAAGCTGTATCACAAAACAACTGGAAATCTTATGGCCTGGCAGATACCAGCGATATCTATGGAGGCAAATTTTCTTAAACGCTTGTATCAATGCATATTCGACCAGATGGAGGCGCTACCGTCTGCTTTGACAAGATTACTGCAATTTACTTCACACTTTTTCTCAGCCAAGAGGCTCTCAAGGCAGTGGCTCCGTTTAAAACATGGGCCCATCCTAACTATAATTTAGACATCGCCATTATTATCAACACTCGGGTGGTCAGCCCTTACAGACCCATGTCGACAATCAGGGTTCTATCTGTTTCCCTGAATAACTTACAAGGTCACAGTGAAGTTCCCTTATATGCTCGCACATGCTGCACAGTAGGCAATCAAAGAAGTTCATCAAATCTATTCACTTTCAGCTGTTTCACCATAAACAGTCAACTTCAACTCATTGAGCAATTTTTCAGTTTTGAGTTGCCATGTAAACCTACATGCTGACACTATTTGTCAGATTTTTCTGTTTTCTATCTTCTCCCCCACCTCCTCTTCTATTTTGAAAGCATATAAATTGACGGTGACTTAACAAATCGTAGAGCTTATCTATCGGATGCGCTGATTTTATAATGTTCTCTTCACCACTCTTTATAATTTATAACGATTTTAATTTCAAGTAGTTTGCAGCTGATGAGAATCAGTGAAATAGAATGATATCATTCTGTGTCACGAATCTGGTCTTTATATCTTTATCGAAATTTATGAAGGGGATCAGTCTTATGAAACGACCACTTCGTTCATATGTGGGGACTGAAAGATGTTGTGGTCAATAGGATTTTCAAGGGACAGGAGCTCAGTGGCTTCGTCTTTGTGTGATAGTTTATATCTGCATACTTTTCGAATAATCGTCAATAAATTCACCTTTCAGTAGTCATAAGTGGACAACAGGTCAAGTGGGCCATCTTAAGAGTCAGCAGGCTGTTTTACGTACTACAGGTTCAACCTAATCGCTGACGTTAGTTGGGGTTCGTATACTATTCTCAGGAACTTTGAGTCCTCTCGAAAATGCCTCCATATTTTGCAATCGACCAAGTAGGCTAATGATGTATTGAGCAGATGCTTAACACAGTTAAAAGCGAATAAGGTGTCTGTTCTTACACTGTCACCTGTCACTAGCTAAGACTTCACTCTACTGTAAGCTAGCTACCGTACTGAAATTAACAAAATTTGATTACATGCAGCCTTTCAGCAGTGGATTACTTTGCCTAGGAGCAAAAATAGTAGATCTGAGCTCAGAATTATATTCAGCGGAATAATTTGTATCAGCCCCGATTGTGGTGGAATATTACTTTCCCAGCGGCACAAACATAGCTCATTACACCTCATTTACCTTTCTACAAAAAAATGTGGAACCTGCATTTCAGGCGCCATTTGTTGCTACAGTGCATTAAAATTCACTGCATACGTAGAGGAATTTCACTGTTAATCATGTTTACATTTAACACTTGCGTTGTATGTACGTGTTGGTGAGAAAGAACACTGAATAGTAATACAACTTAATAAGTTTCCATACAAACGGTCAAATTTACATGAAAAGCATGACACTTTTACAGTCACGATCAAATGTGATATAACTTAAAACCATAAATTTTCAGTGAACCGGTATTATTTCTATAGTTTAAACAGTTGGAATATAACATAACCTATCGGAATGCGATCATTTAAATGTATGATCCTCAAGTCGAGGCCTAGTAGGCAACCCGATTTTCCTTTGATATTCTACTGATGATTGTATTTAACCAACAACTAACTGATATGTAGGGAAAACTACATCCACAAGCTACTGAAATGTATTTCTGGGAGAGAAACCGTTCACTGACAACGTCTTTCAGAATGTTAGTGTAAGCGGTCCACCACTGGTGTGCTTATCGTGACGGTCCTGCAAAATAAGCCACTGGTCTTGGTTTCTAATTGTCTTTTATTTACCTTGAATTATTATTTTTCCTTTAATTCCTAGAGGAAAATAAGGCTTCGGCCGCACTTCTCCGTCACGTCCGGTTCTCTGCCAACGTTTTCACCTGGCTCCACATCTGCCCACATACTTTCATCTCCTCTTCATATGGCTTCCTCATGTCACCCTCGCACCGACGACAAACTCGCCGTTTCCCTTTCACGTTCCACTTGAGTGATGGCCTGACGTGTGATGTGACTTGTTGGTTTTCTAAGAGTGTGGCCAATCCACCTACATTTCTTCCCGCTCAATTGTTGCACAAACAGTTCTGGCTAGATTGGTTCACTCCCAGAGATCCCTGTTGCTGATCTTTTCCGGCCGATCACTTGTCCTTCAGTAATGAGCGAAGACAGCTGTTGATGAAGGTGTGTAGTCTGTTCGAAGTACCCTTCGTGCTGCGTCAAGTCTCTGATCCGCATAGTGAGTATCACTGACTTCACATTGGAGTTGAAAATCCGGATCTTATTT